AGTGTAAAATTTAAAAGTTTCATTGTTGTCATTACAGCTAGCTAACTCCATGCAACAAGGTCCTTCTTGAGGAGTTAACAGTGTCCTCAGGTAGACAAGAAATCCCTGCATTTTATGGATCCCCTTAGTTCTTTACCAAGTTTACAAGAGCGTGTCACTGGTTCCCAACCTGAGCCTCATGAATACTATCCACACTCCCAAACCTTATATCCTTAAGATCCATCTCAAAATTATCCTCCCAAATATCATTTAGTCTTTTGAGTGGTCCCTTCCTTTCAGGCTTCCCAACCAATTTTCTTGCACATTTCTCATCTCCCCCATTTGTGATATATGTCCCCACTCATCTCATCTTCCTCAGTTTAATCAACGTAATAATATCTGGTGAAGAGTATGAACTACAAAGCTCCTCACTTTTCATATTTAAGGAAATAAAATAATGTGGCACTCTTAAAAAACATTTATACATGAGACATAGATTCCGTCAGAGTCGAGGTTTCTTAGCATGGTCCAAATTTGGACTGTGGTAATCTGAATGCTGATGCCATGTTGTCTGCCTCATTCTCCCCTGAAGATGGAGGCAATTCGTTCCTCCAAAATGCTGGTCCTTACATTTAAATTTATATTTCTTTTGGCATGGAATTTCTCTACAGAAACAAGCATTAAACACATTAGGCATTTGGTATGGTGCATTTATGCCAACCAAATAATTTCTAAACAAAATATTATAATTTATCTGTAATATATATATATGAAAACTGGGATAGCTCAGTCAGTATAGTGATTAGCTGCAGGTTGGATGTCTGGGGTTCAATCCCTGATGGGAGCAGAGGATTTTTCCTCTAGCCTCTACATCAGACTGGCTCTGGGGCTCACCCAGCCTCCTGTCCAATGGATACTGGGGTCTTTCCTGTGAGTAAAGTATGGCTGGGGCGTGATGCTGACCACTCACCCCCATCTAGTGCCAAGGTCAAGAAAGAGTAGGAGCTATCCACTCCCCCCAAGCGCCTGCATAGGCATAAAGCAAGACGTAAAAAAAGAAATACACACGCACACACACACACGATGGAGTGAGTAAGCACCTCTGAAACATCAGTCAATTTCTACCAGACTACATAGAGTGTCACGGAAGAGTAATCCTCATACTCTTTGCAGTGAGAACCTGAAATATTACAAGAAATGAAAACAAGAACCAAAAGAATGACATACTAACTTGCCTGTTGTTATTACCAACACTCATGACTGTTCAATGTATCTGATCTCTGTGCCTGTCTATGCAGCACTGAAGCAGCCAATTTCTGTGGTGAACTGGTCTACCATTATGTTACCCCAATGGTAGGAAGAACGCCTGTGAACTGCAATGTTAGCATGATATTCCTTATATCTACACAGTTTTATCAGTTTAAGATCCGAGGGAAAGGAAAGGCATGAACATCAGTAGTGGGGCAGTTCGCGTGGTCTTGAACCTGACACCTTTGGTACAGAACACCATCATCCCCATCATTCATCCTATTAAGCCAGTAATCAACTGAGCAACTTCAATTGTAAAGAAGAAAAGATACATTACTAAAATATAGTTTTGACCACATAAAATCTGCATTTGCGTAACTAACCAGTCCCAATCGAAGTCTGAATTCGCGTAAGGAGTAAGAACCACAGACAGCAATATTTTATTATTTAGTGGAGAAAATTGCAGTACTACCAAATAAAAAACTTTTATTTTACACTACATTTGTACAGATGAATTGCTGCAGACATTACAATATATTTCACATCTCAGCCACACTTTGTCATTAGTATAAAACCTCACTTTGGACACACACTTTTGTACCTCCAGTAACAAAACCTATTAGGAACGTACAGACTTTCACTCAATAAATATTTTAAGGACTTATCGAACTGCATCGTTTTCAAGAAACAAACAACTTTTAGATAAATATCACCTGTCTTTATCCAACCTTTACTGAGATTAATATAAACAGAGCAATCATTCTCACAGTCACAACTTAAGATCAAAGGACAAGTGTCTGGAGGTATTGTCTAGGCACAATATGTTTAAACACTGCTCGTTCAAGGTGGGGACTGCTTTGATGCCTAGCTCGTACAAATACCGTAACAGAAAAAGTTCACATCAGCAAATCCATTTATCTCATAATGAAATAAATATAAGAATCCTCATCAAAGGAAAGAAGCCGTCAAACATAAGGGGAACACTTCATAATCCTACATGGTCTTAAATACGTATGAAAAAATATATTAGTATAAATATTTGTATTTACACAGGCATGCAGTCACACACGTGTGCTTGCTGTCTGACCTTATAAGTATCATATTGCACAATTATATTTACAAAGCTCAGTTATGGGAACTTCAGAGATTGTGCCAAGCTTATTAAACTGGTTTATATCTAAATCATCATGAGGGCGCTTGATGATCCCAATATAAAAACTGAAACTGTCTGTCATCCGCCCATGAAAAGGTAGAACCCTTGGTGGAGTGTGGAGGGGGGCCAAAACTATAACAACATTGTAACATACTGAAAGATGACAAGATTAATAAGCCAAGTCTAAAAAATGGTCTGAATAGCCACGACTTTCTAGAATAAAAACACCACAACTATGTGCCAAGGCTCGAGAACTCATTAGTCTAATACAGGTCGATTTGATTCAGTGTTTCACTCCGTGACAGGGCTGCCTGTATTTGTCAACACACACAAAAAGCACTTCATACAATGTCTGTACAAACATTTACAGTCCATTATGCCAATTTTTAACATTCAGCAATAATAGTTCATTGATAACTATTCTTTGTTCATGAAACCTATAAAGTGGATAAAAATGTGGACATGGCAATGGGTGAAGGGGTTATAAAATTCTGATTTCCACTTACCACAACTGACAACCAGCTAGTGACCCATTAATATTATAACTCATACATGGTATCATTGTGTGTATACTCTGTTATTTTACTGATTTCCTGTCGGTTTTGCTGCTAAAAGGAACAGACATAAAGCGTGAACTTTGCTTTTTGTAACTTCCCAATCTGGTGGTCATTAGAAGGCCTGTATTATGTTGATACCTGCCCTGTCCACAGCCAATGTGAGCAAAATATAGTATCACAACCAGCAAGTCAAATTGTTGATAATGGTAATCAATACAAAGCAGAGGGTCAGATTAAATATGCAAACAGATAAATATGGCATCCCACATCATATCATGTGCATTAAGTGCAAAGAACATAAATAGCCTATATTTCATGTGGTTTTATATCTTTTCAAAATTTGTCACTGAATAACATTTCAGACAGTGAGTCTACTCAAATTTTAAAAGACAAACATCACCATTTGCATAATGCTAGGGTGACCACCTGAATTTATGATCATATATTATAAACTGCAGAATAAGAAAAGCAACAGGAACAATTTTTGAGACTTGGAAAGCAACTTAACAAATAACAGTACGAGAGCTCTAAAGAAGGTTTTGAATAAGAAATAAGAATAAGATGGAAAATGTAGGAGAATTGACAGTTTGTATGTCATGTCTTGTATGCAATATGAAGAATGCCAAAGATCTCTTCCTTGAGAAATGAAATGTTTCCCATAAATTTTAGTGTAGACATAAATAACAATCTTAAAATCCATTCAACAGCTCCAAAATGAATGTGCAGATGGATAAACAGACATGATATTCCCATTTTATGTTAATTTTATGCACTTTATGCAAAGAACACATAAAAATACCTATGTTCATTGTCTTGCAGACCTCTGATTCTCCTTTTTTCATCATTACATTTACATTCAACTTAAATCACTTCATGAGTAGATCCAACAAAACACAACCCCGAAAATCATGCACAAATAGTACTAGTCACAGTTAAGACATTGGGATGTCAACTACGCCCAATTCATTTGTGCCAGTCTGCAGAGTGCAAACATGTTTGCTTTACAAGCCTTGGCTTTTACATCACACTCTAGAAAAAATAGTTCCTGGTCAGTGACAGAAATTAAGAAAAACCATTACAAGAGCAAGGAAAAATATCCTCTCAATAAAAATATACTACACAGCATCAATAAAGCTCTAAGTATCTTCTATGAAGTGTCATCTCCTTTGTTCAATTTGTGTTCCAGGGATGCAGCATTCACTTAATCCTCAATTAAAAACATGATGGTAAAAATCCATTCTGTGTGATAAAGTTGTGATTGTGATGTTTCATGTCTAACTCAATTATTCTAAACTGATCTAACTATTCCTACTCACTCCCTCATAAGAGGAAACAGAAATGGCCAGAATAAAGTTGTCATGCACAAACATCTTGAAGAGAAGTGTCTATTCCAACTCGATTCCAGATTTCCATACAAAGAAGTTACAATGAAAATTGAAGTTACAGCACTAGAAAGTGGGGCAACTATTTACTATGGAACACTGGCTTATATTACAAATATGAGTAAAACTTCCAATTTAAAATCTTCCTTTGGTATTTACATAAGTTGAAAGAAGCAGAAGACAAGGCAGGACAGAACAGCGTGCAGTACTGCAATTACCTATTACTTTTTAGAAAAAAAGGAATCTGAACCAAGAGGCAGCCACTGGAACACCCCCTTCTACCAAGAGATCTTGAAGTAACAGTATATCTGCCTCCACTCAAGCACTAAAAGTTTCGAACTACCACTTGCAAATTTCAAAACAAAAAAACTATCACATAAGTTGCCATCATGAGTGACAAATTAACTAGAATATAAGTGACCACATTATTGAAGAAGTCTGATGGGAAACAAAGTACCTCTCACAAAGGTATTTTAACCATTTCCCCACGACCAATTTTCTTTTGGGTTAAAAATCCTATTCATATGATGATTCAAAAATATTTTATTCAAAGGTATACAGAAGGTACTGTAAATTTCTTACCCTCGAATGTGATTAATAATAAAAAAGTAGGTACCACGATTCACTCAACACTTGGACTTCTCATCTGCCATAACCACTGCACTGCTGTCCTCCTGCTGTGAGCATACCAGCTGCTGCTGGGACTGAGTCATTGACTGTTGACTGTGCAAATGATGATGGCGGTGATGGTGTTGGCTTCGTACTAATGAAGAATCCTTCTGCAATGGCTGTACTTGTACTCGATAGAATTTTGTTCCCTTTGGCACTCGGTAGCGGTTCTCTGACTGCAAGGCATCAATAAGTATGTTACCTCTTTCAGCAAAGACTGAATACTCTGAATTTTCACTAAAAGCTCATCAAAAGGCAATCAATGCAAATATAGTGAAATCTCAATTTTGGTGGTGATGGTGGGGGGGAAGTGAATTTAACAAACAGCAAGTGTGAAAAAAACTTCACATATTTCTTGCAGCTTCAAACTCACTGGTGATGATGAGAAACTGCACACACTGTGTTCATGTGAACAATGAACTGGGGTCCAGGTTTCATGTATGCAGCTGAATTTCATTCCTTCAATGGGGATAATGCGCTACATTGACACTGACAAACACTAAACTGGGGCACATATTGTACTGTATTATAAGGAGCTGTGGCTGAGATCACAAAGAATGAAAGCTAAATGTGGGAAAACCTTGGATCTAGAAACCTTACATCAGGATTTCACTGTAATGTAGGAAGTTATTTAGTCACGTTAAATCCACTTTCACAGTCCTACGTTAGTTATCACAATAAGTAAATAACTATTAAACCAACTAGTGTCCGAAAGTGATAAAAGTTTAGTAAATTTTATGATGAGGTAGGATAAATTACAAATGTTCAGAAATTATTATCCAACAACAAGTAGTGCAGCCACTACACTCAATGGTATGCACCAGCTTACTGATTGTCACGTCAAGTTAGGTTACATGGGATTAAACTGTTCAACAATGAATGAATGGGTTGGGCACAGTAAGGCTAACTCAGGGTGATTTTTGTTGGGAAAACTGATGAAACTATCTCTAGATCACAGTCATGGCCTGTTTGTAGGTAAATGGTAAATAAGCAATTCATTATCTTGTTAAAGATGCCACCTGAACTACTTACTGTAACCACATAAATATCACAATACTGACAGATGTATGCCTTTAAAATGATCATATGATTGACTCAGTTTGTTATGATTACACCATCATATTTGTGTATCTTACACTCTGTGATAATTTCTTTACGTTAAAATATGGTGATAATTTCTAATTAAACAGTACAAAATGGAGCCACGCTGGCACTGTGGCCACTTCTCCAAAGATCAAAACAGAAACCATTTCAGGAGTTCTGTGAATGTTCCCTGGCAACTTCACAACTTAGGAACAGAAAACAATACAGAAAATTTCTTATTCTGTCTGGTTAACTTAAGTTACAAGACATAACCAAAAAATATGTAATAAGATTTCTTATCGGCTCTCTAGCCCTGAGTTCGGTGACAAACACCACAAATTTCTTTTAGGAATATTGACAAATTTGAGGAATGCATGAAACTTTTCTCACAGTTCCCCAAATACCAATTGCTGAAGTGACAAACAATGCAACAAAATACAAATTTTGCTCAAATTCTAAACTTTAACAGCAAACCATGTAAATCCTTACATTCATGTTCATCTCATATAGCAAATGGGTAAACTTAGCACAAATGCCACATCCACTGCCAAATGTGATACCACAAACCTCACAAATGGAACATACTAAAGTAACTAACATAGAATATGTAACTGCATAAATAGTGATTAACTAATGCATAAATTAATAAAGAAATCTAACTTTATACCAAAAATATATAAGCTTACTAAAGGAATAAAATCTGAATACACAAGTTATTTGAAATCAAATTATGCTTTGATAAACTCATTTCACAATTTTCCACCTCCTCAAAACATTATGCAAATCTGTAAATAGATTACCATTCTATTCAACCAAAGTTAGTTCTACATTGAGTCCTTATATTCACTTGTGTCTATACAAATCTCTGATATTTTTGTTCTTACTGTTTGTTTCAAATCTATTGTTTTCATTTACATATTTCTTTTTGATTCTAATTGTTCTTACACATAATTAAAATATCAAAACAAAACTGTGCATATACAAATATTCATCATTTAACAAAGCTGAACATTTCTATAAGGTATGAAAACATTATGAACAGCAGAGGTCACAATGGAAGGACCACAAAATCACAAACACACATGCCTCTTTCAAACATTTCTATCCTTTCAGGAAACATGGCTACAAAGCAAATCTCTTTTAAGAACTCCACGTGACACTTACTTTCCTGGCATAGCAATATTCCTTGTCAGTAACTTCACCTGTGCTGTACAGCCGTCTTGGTGAACCATCTGTCAAAAGAAATCACACACAAAAGGTGACAAAAACAGCAAAATATTAGTGATGGTATCAAGAATGAAAACATCAGGCTTTATTAGAATTACAACATGCAGCAAATATGACTGAAACTCAGAATGGATGCAGGCTTCTCAGAGTATACGTAATATGAATGAAGCTTTGATAGAATGCCCGTGAGATACTCAATGATGGGAACAAGTTATGTATCTGGCAAGTTGTAGGATTTGAGGTTTTCATGGCAGTGAGTATGTAGATTGCTGTCTTCTGGGTTGTTGCACCATGTAGTCTGGTAGAAATATATTGACGTTTCAGAGGTCCTTGCTGCCTACATCATCAGGGCACAGTTTAATTTTTTATTATTTTATGATTATGTTGTATAAAAAATGTCTGATGAGATTTTATAAGGTGTACTGTGTGAAGTATGCGAACATCATGGTATATTAACACTTATAGTTGAAAAAGGACAAACTGTTCATAACTGCTATTTATCATCCACTGATCCCTACGAGTAAAGGGAAAGAAAGAACAGAAGGCATCCTCTGCCTTTTGACAAAGCTGGCGAGTGAAGTGGCCAGAGATAGAGCACCTAATAGGCACATACAAAGAGTGGACACAAAGCTCAACAAATTCTTATCCTTGGCACTAAATGGAGGTAAGAAGTTGCCTTCACACCCTGACTGCTTCATTGACAGGGGAAAAGCTCGTCGTACTCACTGGACAGGATGCAGAGCCACATTGGACTGGGTGCCCTTGTTGCAGTCTGCACCAGGTGTGAAAAATATTAATACCACATTTTCTTGATTTTAAAATGCCACTGCTTGTAGGATGCACCCTTAATTTAGTAATAGGTTTTCAGGAAAAAAAGACACTATACTGATTCTTAGATTCCATCAAATGTAAGAAACACCCTGATTTCAGAAATTTTAAAATGTGAAAAAAATTGTCTTAATATCAAGGTTTTATGGTCTCCATATTTCTAGTGTTCAGGAAATGTTCAATGCCAAAATCCATACTACATCTTGATCATGAGTCCAGCGAGAACAGAAATAACCACTGATAAATTTCCAATAGTAAAATAAAACCAGAGGAACAAACCAGATCCAGGGCAAAGTCCAAGTGTATCCAAGCAGTCCGAGTGTAAGAAGTAGAGTGTAGCCGTCTCCTGCAGGATTGTGTAGTTGCGATGCTCCTCATCCCACACCACCAGAACTGAATCACCAATGTTGCACCTGAAATCCCACACTTATCATAAGCAACATTAATCTTCCAACAATCAAATGGCAAAGAACCACTCTACAGAATAAAGTTAAGGTACAGTTACATCTTTGCCTAGCCACTACTCCAAGGACAGTGGAGGCAAAGCTCCACACATTTTTAGCCTTGACAGTAAATGAAGGCAAGCTGTCAGATTCATGCTCCAACTACTTTACACACACACAAGGATACTGCTCCCAGTGTTGGCTAAGCCTCCTTGGAACTAAATCCTGTCATACAGCCTACAGTAACTTTACTAACAAGTAAACAAGATTAATCTGCCAGCATTTTCTAGTAATAATGGGTGAACTACGTAAGAATGACTGAAGTTGATCATAACCATATCCACTGGCAAACCTATATTAATAAAGTTGAACCTTCAGTTTGAAATCAGAAAGCTAGCTCCCATAAGAAATTGAACATTTTGTTCTATTTATTTTGTAATCAGAAACTATAAAAATCAGAAATCATCAAATGATGAAAAGCAACAACTCTGAATATATACAAAAATAAAATAATTAATTATAAGAGTATATCTCAAAGCAAACTCAAAAGAACATACATGTACAATCATGAAGATGACATCCTTCTGAGATATTGTGCCATGAAGTCTCACACAAGTAGATTGACATTACAAAGGTATGTGCTGTTTTCATCATCAGGGTGATAATCAACTTATTCTTTCCTGACGATGGAGGCAGCATGTACCTCTGAAAAGTTGGTCAACTCTGAGACTGCATTGTGCACTACCCCAGAAAGCTGTCATCATACTCGCTGCCATAAGAACTTGAAATCTTAAATGTACATTCATGCTCTATATAGCCCTCTTTCATTTATGCACATCCTATCATAGCGTTAATGTAACAAGATTGGTTCTTTTATTTTGCTTCACTTTTAATAACAATCATGTTCATTTCCAATTTTTAGGCTTTGTTACTTCTCATGTTACAGTATTCCTCTCAAACATTGGAACAGAACTTAAGTGTTAACCCTGTATTTTATATTAAATGCATACAAATGTGTGGAAGTAGGTATGTAAATAGACTGGACTTCTGTGCCACATAACTCAAAGTACAATGACGATCAGCAAAATCAAGTTCCTTTATCTCATCAGTTTTCTACTCCCTCACCATGACTAGGTCACCCATGTTAAGCTGCAGGTCCATTCTGCCAGCTATTATCATAATTATTCTGTCAGTAAATGTTTTTAAATCTGTCTCATTGGTGTTCCCGCATCACAAATTCCTTCACCACTGCCAGGGAAGAAGAAACAGTCCATAACAAGGAGCATCTGCTACAACTAATAAATGGGAATATACTCACGATGAAATGCTGATCTTCCCTTGCTGAATGAGAGATGTTGTGCTCTGTGTCTGCAACAAGATACACAATTGTTAACACCAGTTCAAGTACAGAGATACAGAACATTTTCTGGTTCTCATGTAACTCTACTTCAGTATCACCTACCACTTTGAATTACTACTCTTATGCAAATATAAGATGAGATTTATTTTCACACTTATCGTTTTTAAGTACACAGATAAATTATGTCCATATACTTTGTGGCATCTTTTAAACGTCTGCATATATAACAAAAACCTAATCATAAATTTAAGTATAAATAATTTCTGGGGATAAGTAACTAAAAGCAGTTAACTTACTACACACTCAGATATTGCAGACAGGACTAAGAAATAATAAGAATATAAATGAAAGAAAAAAGATCATAAAACATTAAATGGGAAACTTTGTTATTACTTCTTATCACTGCTCTATGAACTTTGAAAGTGTCTGACTGACTGACTAACCAACTGACAAACCATCCAACTTCAAGGAGCAGAGTTAGTTATTATTGAGAAGCCTTTTATGTGACCTAAACGTTCATCACTTTGTCCACAACAGCATGCCACTAGTCTGTATCCTGAGTCTCACAAATCCAATCCACAACCTCCAACCCTATTTCCCTAAGACCAATTTTAATATTTTACTCTCAGCTGTGCCTAGGTCGTCTGAGTGGCCTCTTCCCTTCTGGCTTTACAATCTTCTTGATTTGATCATCCCAATCATACATGGTAAAGAGTACAATTTACAGAGCTCCTCACTGTGTGTATGTCTAAGTACACCTGAATCTGCAGTACAATGAAAATGTTCGTACATATTTTCAGGTCTTTTGTTAGCATGTCACAATCAACAGCCTCTATTCAAATGACACTCACCAACTTCTCCTGTAAACGATGTTGTGAAGGGTCAGGACTTGTAGCTGCATCTCGACTGCTGACCCTTTGCCTGTCAACAAATATCACACTTCTAATTCATACCATGCTTAAACTGCAAGTGGCAATAACATAAATGCTCTAGCATGATGGTAACTGCAAGAAGAACAAGTAAATCTTGTTTACTGGATAGTTTTCTCAGTAGCGTGGGGATTCAGAACTAATGAGGAACAGTTTTACTTCAAGCATATAGCCAAATACATTTCCATTAAAGTTCTGTAAAATTTTGTAGCCACGTACAGCATACCACAACTTCTTTGATTTCACTATCCTAACCGGATGACCTAAAACATATGACCTAAACATTCTTAGAATCTAAAGAAAACATGGGATGCATTATATTCATGGACTAAGATTAGTCACTGCAGCAGTAATGCAATTACTAGGGCATGTTAAACCTTAAATGAAATGGGACATTTAAACTCCCTACTCAATCCTGGGGGCAAGATATTAAAACATGAAAGCTAGAAATTCAATATTTCACTTCAACTATAACACATCTTCAAGAAATAATTATTTTCTTCTAATTTTTAAACTACATTCAGAAGTACACAAAATGAGGACATCAGAACAAAACAATTTTAAAATTTATGCATAATAAGTTCATAAAATTTATAGAATAGTAATCTTTAAAAAAGATCCACACATAGTTCGTTACATGCATATATGTAGTGTCCTCCTATGCTTCTGACAAACAGCACCATATTTCTGTCTTGCCTCCTTTTCACATGACAGAAGCATAATTACAAATGTCTTCTCTTAGCTGTGGCACTATGTTGTCTGAATAATGTTGTACTGGCACTCTATGTCCCACATCATTAGCTCACTTCAAACACAGTCAGGCCATCAACTAATAGAATTCTGAATAGTAGGATTTGAGGCTTTCACAGTGGTGAGTCTGGAGATGGATGTCTTCTGGGTTGTTGCACTGTGTAATCTGGTAGAAGTTTACCAACATTTCAGAGGCAGCAAGGACCTCTAAGCATCAGTAAACTTCTACCAGATTACACAGTGCAACAACCCAGAAGACATCCATATTGAATTTTGAATATCAACAATTAGTTTTATTCCCAATGTTATTTCTGTATATTACCATGTAACTCATAATTAAGGTGTTCAGAAACCTATAAATAGATTCATATACCATTTTTCATCATCCTTCTCTCAAATAATAGTACAGTAGTTGGTCTACCAAGTCAACCTCATTAATGCATTCAATTTTAATCCAACAATAAAATTAGCTCGATTATTCTTTTATTGAAACAATCCTGGCTGGTGTGAAGACCATGAAAAGTGGGAACCATAATGATCCTTTTGCCACCCACTTTATGAGAGAAAGAGGTCTGCTTTCACATAACCTCTTTCCTATTTAGTTTCCTCCTTTTTGGGAACAGCATTTTTGGTTGATATCAGTGCCTCAAACTATTCTATTTTTCAAATGCTAACAGGGTTTCTCAGCATGCATTAGGATGCCTCAGTGCAACACTCGCTTGCCTTCTTACACAGAAAATGCTCCATTTAAAAAATTTCTTGTTTCTCACTTGATGTAATAACTAATGCAACTTGCACAAATGATGTCTACTGCTGCATCTTGTATATTCCTACATGTAGTACTATGCTACTGATATAAAAACCTTGAATACGTTGTGCATCTGTTTTATATGTAAACATTTTATTAAAAAGGTGTATGGTATCTGGATAAATATATGTAGTATTAAAATGGAGATTACTGAAATGTAGTCTGAGGGGAAAACTAGACTGAAATGGCTTAGGATCACGTCCAATGACAAGTTTCAATCAATTGATCAATTTCTAGAACACTTAAAGATACTTTAACAGCTGCAGTGTTAAATAAAATGGTGAGAGGCGATAAGTGAAAAGCAGATACATAACTGGTACAAGGCAGTCATGACCAATTTGCAGGTAACATTCACCTAGAAACTAAGTGTAAAACACAAAAGAAAGCAACCCTCAGTGAGGATAACAGGAAAACCAGTTAAACTATAAACCACTTCAATATAAATTTACAGCATTACCACTACAGCAACCTACATGTAGTCTGAGGGGAAAACTAGACTGAAATGGCTTAGGATCACGTCCAATGACAAGTTTCAATCAATTGATCAATTTCTAGAACACTTAAAGATACTTTAACAGCTGCAGTGTTAAATAAAATGGTGAGAGGCGATAAGTGAAAAGCAGATACATAACTGGTACAAGGCAGTCATGACCAATTTGCAGGTAACATTCACCTAGAAACTAAGTGTAAAACACAAAAGAAAGCAACCCTCAGTGAGGATAACAGGAAAACCAGTTAAACTATAAACCACTTCAATATAAATTTACAGCATTACCACTACAGCAACCTACTTGCTGACACTCTTGATACTCGAAGTATCTGAGCTTCAGGTTCTGTTACCAGAGATTTAGAAAGATGGATGGATAGCTAACCACAAGAATATAAGTCAGAAAAAGTCTGTGACTCACTGCACAACAGCTACTGAGGTATTCATCTCTGCTGCCTTCTTCTCATGCTCCTCTGCCATCTGGGCCTGCTGAAGAACCTTGTGCGCTTCTAGCACATCCACACGATCCAGAAGGGGCCACACTGCTGATCCAGCACTGGAGTCAGGACCATAACCACTGCAATGAAATAGGGTACAATTCAAAGATGTTTACATAACAATACTTTCATTACAGAAATAAATGACAAAACCACATAAACACACTAACAGAATTAGAATCCAAACCTTATATAAAAATATGAAAGTATGATACTATTCCAACATTAATGGCTACTCAGTCATCACTATAAGACAGGCACTTTATACAAGACCTTGGGAAAGGAGGAAAGAAAATATAAATGTCTCCATGTTTGAGACTTAGGAAAAAATATAATTGCCATTTTCTTACATTTTCAATCTTTTCAATCGTGAAATTCTTGCAATAATTTCTTTGCCTTGAAAAATAAAAACTAATTCTTGGGCTGTTCTTTTATCTACAACTTGATAAATAAAGTTATAATTTGCAAGAGAAGCTAACTGGACTGATTCTCTTTCCATAGATCCAAAATAAACTCTAGTACCACATATCAGAACTGACAATTATTTAACTGATGCATTCAAAGGGTTAAGAAACTGTTAAAAATTAATCAATCTTCATGTGAATTTGCAGCTCTGATTAAATAAGAATTCCCTAAAACCAAATTTTCAAATTTCAGTAGGAGCAAAGTGCAAGTTTTCTACCATCTAGGACCAAATTCTTAAAGACTCAGCACAATTTTGACATTATTCCACTGCCCTTGTTTCATCTTACTATAAAAATTTGTGATTCCTCGTTGTCATCAAAAAATGACGTCATCAACAATGTCAACTTATGTTTTTTATACTCGGCATTGTTGTGTTCCACAACAATGCCGAGTA